AAAAAAAAAAAAAAAAAAAAAAAAAATCACACACCCTCTTTTCTAAACAGCACACAAAAATATCACATTGAGCAATTTACCACTTTTTAATGACAATCACAAGGATGAACAGAACCATCAGACTGAATAAAAATTGACACTTTTTTTCTAGCTGACCTATTCGATCTGGGTAGTGCTGGTCTGCATATCTTGCAAGACTGCAAAAGCCTTTCTTGAGAACCATCTCGCTCAGCTATCTTCAGGATGGCAAGATTTCAAAGCCTCACCAACTTTTCCTCTGGATATCCCATGGGTCCTGATACAATTTCCATTTTAATGATGAGCTAGGAGGAAATTAGATCACATCCTCTAGAAAACTAAATGCTAAGGTCACAGTGCCAGTTCCCCAGTGAGGACGGTGTATTAATATATACTTTTTGTAAAGGAGATTAAAACACTTAAAAATTAAATCAAAGTAGAGATCCATGAATAGATTGTAACAAAGAAAACAAAAACGCAAGCACCATTCAGAGCGTGGTTTTTCTTCTTGGAGGTCCTCGCATTCCTCCTCACCCTCTAGCCCATCTGAATCTCTCTTTTTTGGCATATTTTTCAAGTCACGCTTCAAAACTCTTCAATGAACTCACTTCTCACCGCTTGTTCGACATGCCGAACCTAAGGACAGGATTCCAAAAAGATGAGCATCCTTCCAAATGCCTCCTAAGCCTCCAGAATACGTGACTTTGGCTGTGCACTTTGCTCAGATTTCACCTTTTTTTTTTTGTTGGTGGTGTTTTCCACACTAGGTTTCCTTGTCCTCATTAAAGATAAACAGAGATTCACATCACAGTGCAACTCTTGGCTTTGTCCTTTCGTAAGTCCGTAGCCACTGCGGAGAGTTCTGGTCTGCTGGGCATGTGTGAAATCCGCTTTGTCGCCCTCTGCGATTTGTTCCGCTTAACGTTTTTATTTGTCTTGTTTACACATGCCAAGGTGGCCACATGGAAAATGTCTCTGACACTATTTTCTGACTGTAAAGCCGAGCATTCGATGTAAGTAGCTGCTCCGATCTGTTTGGCCATATTTGCCCCCTGAGAAGCAAAAAAAAGGGCCTGTGATCAGCAATAAGTCTTTGGGGAAGTGTGTCTTCTAACACCACGAAATAATGCATAGCAAAATGTTTCTAATGTTAACTGAATTTCCTAAGTATTGACGAAAAACAATTTTTTTACATTTGAACTGCCTTATTTATTATTTCATAAATATTTGCAGCCAAGACCCAATCCTAAGATGTCCGATTAACATCACTCAGTAGACACTGCTTGACTTCCCAGAGGTGCTAAAGGCTGATCTGATGTCATTGGGTCATCAATAAACAAGGGCCACGATCATCAAATTGTTAGTATGGGTGATTCTAAGAATTACCCAGAGAATCTTACTATTGGAAGAGAGTAAAAAAGCTGAAGACCATGAATGTAAATGCTCTGGCAGGGTGATCTGCTCCCTTGAGCCTGTTCCAGCAACCTCATGGGGCACTCAGTTTCTCTTTTCTTGAGTGTAAATGGCACTCAAGACTAATAGACAAGCTGTACAAAAAACAGGGGTAAGAGAATTTAGAATCAATTTTGAAACATATATGATTATGTCTTAGGGACAAAATAAATTGAGGAAAGGAATAATACTGTTTAAGCATCTACAACTTACTTAGGAGACACAAAATACGTAATTTCTAAATGTGGACCAGACAACCAGTGGACACAATAATAAGCATGTGTGCATCAAAATGACTTATTTACATAGCCAGATTTTTGTTAATTGGAATGAAGGATAAACAAGACCACAGTATGAATGGTCAAACAATGAATACTAAATAAAATTCTAGCTGTTTCAACATGAACTCCCTTTAGAATCTGGTTGTAAGTTTTAAGAGAACGAACTTTTGAAGCCAATTCTCCTGCTTTCTAAATGCTTGAAGGAAATGCGTGCAGAAATGATGAAGCTCTGAAAGACAGTGTTCTGGAGTGCTCTATTTTACTGACAATGGCCTTTGTAAAGTATTGTATTGTGTTGCTGAGTGTAAACTAAGATTAACGTTAAGAGTAATACTTTATAAGAGTATTACTGATTTTGACCGCATTCTCTCTTAAATCTATTTCACTTTAAACCCAGTGAGAGTTGCAGAGATACAGAGGGTTGACTATGAGCCACTGTTTCTGCACTCAAGTGATCAAATATCATGTGAGTCCCCTACCGAATGACAGAGCATTTCACATTTTAAAGGATTTTTTTTTCCAAACACGTCTTATGTATACACACACACACACACACACACACACACACACACACACACATGAATCCTTACACAGTCAACTGCTAAATAAATACTGGAAAGCTTTTTGAGAGAGTCCAGAATCAAAGTATCACCACAATTTCAGCCAAACCTTTTCCCAGATCACTTTGGTGCTCACTTGGCAGTTTTTACATTAATTTGAGCAATGGGCTGCCAGGAAGGGGCTGGGATAGTTGCTGTGAAGGCAGAGGCACAGAAACGCCAGCCCTTCTCATCTGTGTTTACAGATGGTCACGACCTGGACACATGGTGCTCATTTTGCATCTTAGGAAAAAAAAGGGGCTAGCACCTGGCCTTGACCCCTGGTTGAGCCTTTAGAAAAGCAGCTACTTTTTATTTTATTTACTATGAATGATGTTCCATTTCTGACATTCTAAAATCTATGTGTGCCCACTAACTACATACGTACCTGGTCATAGGACACTGGGGTCTGCCTGTGGTTTGAGAGCTCTACTAATGTACTGACATCTGTCCGAAGATCAGATTTGCAGCCGACCAAGAGCATCTTGGTGTTGGGACAAAACTCCTGGATTTCACCTTTCCACTATAGGGGGGAAAAGAAGATGAAAAATTAACAAAGTGCTGGCATCCATACAGTGGAAAACAAGTCCTCCACTGGCAGGCGTTGGAAATGGGACTCAAAAAGGACATTTAAAAGAAATTGTCACTTCAGATGCAGAAGCAAACTTGCATTTATCTTCTACGTAGACATTAAATGTTGCTGCTTTTTAAAGTGGATCCATTAGGGAACCATATTCTGTCACTCATTAACTGTCCCTACTGCAAGAGACCTGTTGGGTGTTGTGAGAAAGTAACTAAGGCAATTTCTTAATTATTGTGGAATCTCTGAAAGATAAAAGTGCCTTAAGAATAATTATATATTCTAACAAGTGACTACATCCTCGGATATGTTGAGCTGGTACTTCCCAGCATGGAAGACTGGGAATAAGGCAGAGCCAACACAAGCACAGATGTACATTCACTAATCCCACCTAGAAAGACTGAGCAGCCACCATGTGCTGAAATCTCTACTGAGATTTCAGAGCCTGGAGATAGAGTTAACAGAACAGAATGTCCTGCCTTTAAGGAGCTTCCACTGGTGTGGCTGAATCAACAAAGACCATGACATTTGCAAAGGCCCATCTCAGGTTATCAGGGAGGCCTCTGGTCCCATGGCTCATATGTCTCTGAGTTAGTCTTAAATTACGTAAGTTATTAATTTAGTCTACTTTGGCTAGCTGTTTCATGACCCAACAAGAGCTCTTAGAACCTCCAGAAATGCCTGGCAGGGAATTCCAATTGTCCTCTTAAAGAGCAAATGGATGACTTTTTGTGGTTTCACTTCCTCAAGCTTGAGATGGCCATCAGGGTGAGAGTCAGGAGTTCAGAGTGTTCACAGGAGAGCTCAGCTCCGGGGCTGAGGTCGGGAATCTGCGCCTGCCTCTCCCTGCCCACATTCACAAATATGTACTCAGTGCTCTACGAAATACTGTGGTGGTTACAGAGATGATTAAGATGTAGCTGAGTCTTCTGGAAAGGAATTCACAAGAGAGTGGGGGTGATTAAGTCATGTCTATAATGCTAGATGAAAGTGACATCCTGCAGGAGTAATTTAAAAGACCTCTAGAGGAGACACCTCCAGATCTAGAACTGTGGGCAATGAACTCTAGTCCAAAGTACACCCGTGGATTGAAGGGAATAATACATACTTTCCATAAGAGCCTAATTTATCCACCAACTCCTCCCTCCTGCCCTCCCTCCCCTCTTTCCTTCCAGCACTATTTAGAGGCATCTATCATGTGCTAGATGACACTGGAGCAAGAACTAGAAGGTGAATTGAAAAAAAGAATAAGATGTCTCCAGCTCTAAGTCACCGTAACCTCTTTGATATTCCAGGACTTAAAGGATTCAATTAATCAAGACAAACCATAGCAGGGATTATCATGAGCCTTAAACTTCACACAAATGTAAAACACACTCATTAATATCTCTAAGGCCAAAGTCACTACACATTTGGTCTTAGCAGACAAAAGCAAAATATAACAGGATCAAGGCTTTTCATCATAAATTATGCATAACCCGATACTACATCAAGTAAGAACTCCAGTAAATAAGCAGTCTCTTTTATCTACAGACAAGCAAGAGACAAGTTGCTATGTTGTTCCTCAGCTGTGTGATGGCTCTGGCCTGCCCCAGGTCTAGCAATTATTCACAAGCACCGAAGAGAGGAAAGGTGTATTCCTGCCAGAATCTGACAGTCGCATTATTTGTGCTAGATACAAACATTACTCAAAATTGAAAGCTAAAAAGAGCCTTTAATCTTTTAAGAAATTCATATTTCACTGAACTAACTATATTTGTCATGTTTAGTAAAGAGACGGGGTAGGGGGATGATTAACCTTCAAATCCTAATTTCATAATGACACACAAGGCCAGCAGTCAGACATGATAGGGAAAAATAAACTAAGAAAAACACACAAAACACGAGGACACTGCCTTGCTCGTCAGCACATCCTCTGACTAAGCCTGAGTACGTGGAGAAGGGGGCTCTAGGGAAGGTCTAATTCTGAAAACCCACAGCACTCAGGCCAGGACTGAGAAGTCAGCTAGAGGCTAATACACGCTGGTCCTTGGACGGGCATATGCCTTTACCTACCCGGAGGCTTAGTCCTAGGTTGGCGGAGCCCAAGGAATGCTCCCCCCCCCCCGCCCAGCCAGTCCAGGACCTGTGACCCACCTGCCATAGGGTGCCTTCCTCCTGACCTCCCCTGGGTTCCATCCAGAGCTTCCTCAGGTTCCTTCCCCACCTACAGAACCTCACACTACCTTTGCCTCCAGAAACTAGCTATGTGATATCATCTGTGATACGTGTACACGGCTGTGTTTACTAGTATCTGACATCACCTGGTCTAATGTCTGTAAACACACCCCTACTCCTCCCCTATTTATTCTATTTCCGTTTCTAATAAATAAAATCACTACTGAAATACAGCTTCTTTACTAAAACAGCTATTACTGCATTCATTTCAATCCCTGAATTGAGGTCAAAAGTAAACCTGTAAAGTAAAGCACAAGCTACAGGGTGAATGAAGGACGGAAAGAAGGAAGACACACTTAGAAGTAATGGAGTATCAGTATTTTTAGCTGCCCCACTGCCACCCAAAGGATAAACACAGAGGCTCTTAAAAGGGTATTTTGTTTCTTAAAATGAAATAAAATGTTGAGCAGGTTCATCATCAAAACTTGGGACACATAGGAGTGGAAACCCTGTTATAATGTGCGAGTGGCCTTTTCAGTGTTTTAATTACAAGACATACAGCAGGGAATTAACTGCAGTGTTTGAGCTCCCAGCCAACCACATGTTTCTGCTTCATATCTGGGCCAGTACTGATCTGCGTCATCGCTCCCCAGCACTTGCCTTTTTCAGGACACTGTCCAGAGTCTCTGGTCTACTGATGTCAAAGCAAATCAGCACGGCATCTGAATCTGGGTAAGAGAGGGGCCGGACGTTGTCATAGTAAGGAGAACCTGAGAAGAAACAAAGAAACACAAGTTTTCGGATGAATATGCCCTTTGCCTGTCATGCATGAACTCTGCCCTTTTGAATTGAATCCTTGGATGGTCACGTGGCTCCCATCTCCTCTAATTCTTGGAGAAGAAAGCAAACAAAAGCCGAGTAGTACCATATTCATTTCTACTAGAAGATAAGGAAACCTCACTTGTATCTGACTTAAATTCGAGGGGAGGAGCCGGGATCTTAAGTTGAAATCTGCACAGTTCAAAGAGTAGAGCCCAAAGGTACCTAGGTGAAGGGCAGAAGCATCTGGAACCAGATGGTCTGGAGCGCAAACCCACCTCCACCACTGCAAGACGGGGGCAGGCGGCTTCAGGTCTCTGTGCCTCCGATTCTTCACGTGTGAAAGGAAGATGACAACAGCACCTACCTGGGATTCAATAAACCTGGACAGTGCCTGTCACTTAGTAACGGATCAAGAAGTCTTAACTATGGCTATGGCTGTGCTGTTGCTATCGAAAGCTGAGTGGTAGCAAGCGCAGTCACAGGAGATACTTCTTGGGAAAGAGCCCGATATTCAAGATCACTCTGTTAGTACAATGGAGAATGGGGGAGGGAGGAAAAGGGTGGGTTCAGCCACACAAAGAGAACCATCGTGAACCTCATCAGCACCACCTTATCTCCAAGTTACAAGTTTGTATGAGCCATGACCTTTGAGCTTGCTTACTTAAACTTATCCCCAAACTCTGTATAGACTCTCTTCCTGTTACAACCGAAGAATGTAATAAATGCCATACTGGATCCTGTCACCTTTTTACACTTTTCCATCTCTGGGAGTGACATCAAGGCATGATCCAAGGATCTGAGCCTGAGTTAAATCCAGGGTTCCCTAAAGGTTCAAGTTACCAGCCAATTAATTTAACCACAGAACCTCCTCTGGTCGTTTAGGAAATTTCTTCCATTCTTTTAAAAATCCCAAAGGATGGGCAATTGCATGAGGCCAGTTATTATAAAATGGTGTGCCTATAAAATTAAATAACAGCCTGCCATGCTATTTATTTTTTGAAAAATCATTTTCAGTATACTGACATTTCACAAGCACAACATGAAATCATTTTCCTAGGAATGTATACATACATACATACATACATATATATATATATATATATATATATATATATAAAATTTGACTCCAGAATAGAGAAAAAAAATCTAAGCCACCAGACTTTTTGAAACCCAATTTCATTTTGACATCACCTTCCATTTCTAGCAGAAAAACATGACATGTTGTCCCCTGATAAATCAAAACCTCAAAAGTCAAAGTCAGGGAAAGA